GTAAACGTGCAGCAATGTTTTGTTTGGACAGCAGTGGCTTCCTCTGTGGTATCCTCCCATGAAATCCATTCTTGTTTAGTGTTTTACGTATTGTAGATTCGCTAACAAGGATGTTAGCATTTGCCAGTGACTTTTGTAAGTCTTTAGCTGACAAACTAGGATTCTTCTTCACCTCATTGAGCAGTCTGTGCTGTGCTCTTGCAGTCATCTTTACAGGACGGCCACTCCTAGGGAGAGTAGCAGCAGTGCTAAACTTTCTCCATTTATAGACAATTTGTCTTACCGTGGACTGATGAACAGCAAGGCTTTTGGAGATACTTTTATAACCCTTTCCAGCTTTATGCAAGTCAACAATTCTTAATCGTAGGTCTTCTGAGAGCTCTTTTGTGCGAGGCATCATTCACATCAGGCAATGCTTCTTGTGAAAAGCAAACCCAGAACTGGTGTGTGTTTTTTACAGGGCAGGGCAGCTGTAACCAACACCTCCAATCTCATCTCATTGATTGGACTCCAGTTGGCTGACATCTCACTCCAATTAGCTCTTGGAGATGTCATTAGTCTAGGGATTCACATACTTTTTCCACCTGCACTGTGAATGTTTACATGGTGTGTTCAATAAAAACATGGCAACATTTCATTCTTTGTGTGCGATTAGTTTAAGCAGACTGTGATTGTCTATTGTTGTGACTTAGATGATGATCAGATCACATTTTATGACCAATTTGTGCAGAAATCCATATCATTCCAAAGGATTCACATACTTTTTCTTGCAACTGTATATACAAAGTAACCGCTAGAAGTCCATATGTATTTTATCTATCACCTAATGTGATAGATTCCCACTGGTGGCAATACAAATATGGACTTCTAGCAGTTAATCTGTATTGTAGCGGAGAGCTGGTATTACACAGCCTATCTCCACTTTGGATCCCAGTGAGGTTCAGGAACAAGCAATTATAAATCCATAGGGCAAAGTATCCAGCAGGCAAAATAACACAGCAGTATCCCAACAGCACTCCCAATAACTGGACGACACACAGTATCAGGAGCAGAACTAAAGATTTATTCAGACAGTGGCCTTATAAAGCATGCTCCCATGCAAGGGAGGGATTTTCATTCATTAGTACAGTAGCCAATCCTGTTCTGGTAACCTCCCACACATCTCCTCCCCTCAGCCTGCATCATAATCCCCTTATCCAGGACACCAATTCCCCCTGTTTCTGGATGTACCCCTAAACCTAGGGGTACCGCTTTAAATTATACATCCCCTGGTAGCCCTGATCTGGGTGAACAACATATCCAAAAATCACCCAGATCAGACCAGGGGTTCGGGAAATTTATGGAGGGAATAAAATGACCGACCATGCTGGATAGAGTAGCCGAATTGGGTTCCATGCGATGGGGCCCTGCAGTCGGTCCTGGAACAAGGGAATAGATTACACGAAAGCCTCCAGTTACAGAGACTAGGGAGGGTTTGCCTGAATCCCCTCGTTCGGTTGTTTCTATCTACCGAACGAGTGGCCGTTCGGTAGTTTGGTACCGAACGGACCGGGCTTGTGGAGGTCTCAGCGGTGTTCACCTAGTCAAGTGTCCGATTTGAGTTCCAGACACTCGACGGCAAAACACCGCTGTTCGGGAGTTTTAAAATGGCCGCCGCCACGTGTTCGTTTCCCGAATGGCGGCCACCCCCGAGAACAAAGGACTACTACTCAGCTTGTCAATTACCCGTTCGCAACAATGTTGCAACGGGTAATTGAAGGCACACGTCACACTGGGGAGGTCTGACTGTTCGGTAGTTTAATTCCCTTATTTGTTGGAATGATTCTACCGAACAATCAGACGATTACAATACATTTAACACATATAACTTTGCCATTTACACGATTGCAGTAAAAACCTATGTAATTCTCAGGACAGCCCAGTGCCATCCGCTACATGTATATATATATTTACAGATTAATTGCTAAAAGTCCATATTTGTATTGCCACCAGTGGGAATCTATCACATTAGGTTTAACTGAATATAAACATAAAGGTAATTTCAACATTATCATCTTTTAAAATGTGTAGGGGAACTTATTTATTAATTTATAAATATATATATATATTTGTGATTGGAATTTCTAATACGTAATGGAATGTAGAAGGAGAGGCAAAGTTGTTTGAGGTATGCCGAAACCAGGGCAAAAGAGGATTCAAAGTAAACACACTTTATTGCAAGTTATACAGCGAGGGTACTAAAGGCTTGTCTGAGATCCCTCTCTGGTCTAGGTATATAAGTGTTGTAAATTGAGGATTTCCAGCGTCCAAGTCTCTTAATGATGTGGACTGGGGTGTTAGAGCTTAAAGCTGATGATGCTGTCTTTATAAAACTTTACAAAAGGACTTACCTTCAAAATGTTAAGTTTTTTTTTATCTATTTATTTTAATTAATGTATATTTTGTGCACTTTATAATAAAGCACTTTATCCCTACTGCAAACAGTGAGGATATCCTATTGTTTGGAAACCCCTGCCAGTACAAAGAAGGGAGTGGGTCCCTCTAGCAACCACAAAGCTGAACTTCTGAGCCATCACATTGGCTCCCTGTTTGTGAGTGCTTCTCTTATTTAACATTGCACTGAATTATTGAATATTGGCTATATTGCACTATTTCTCTTTATCTATGTTTTAATCTTAGGAAGAACAATTTAAGAACAATCTTAATTCATGTAAAGATACTCCACCTTATATTGTATGCTCATGGACTTCTAGCTGTTACATTGTGTATATATATATATATATATATATATATAATGTAACAGCTAGAAGTCCATGAATGAAATCTATATATATGAAAACAAGAGGGCTGCACTCACCAGAGTAGGACCTGCCAATAATGGTGTACATTAACTTTGTGGCAGGCTTATGCAATATATGATAATATAATGTAACTAAGCACCATTATTGTTTTGCCTAGGTGAGGTGTTTTTAAATAAAACTATAACAATCTCTAAAATTTGAAATCTTTGTTTAGTGAATAAGCGAGTGCGCTGGATTCTGTATTTTGTATGTTGTACATATTGACCAAAGGGATTCCATCTTCCAATCTTCTTACATTTAACAGCTTGTTGAGCCTGTTGAGGTCTAAGATGGGTCTCCATGCTCCTAAAGGATTTTATCATAAGGAACAGATCAGAGTAAAATCTGTGTGTTCTTTCTACCTTTGGAACTTCTACAATGATCACTGGTATATTTAGCCCAAGGCAAACTAGACAGTTGCCTTCGGCGGCACTAACCAGGGGGTGGCAAAAAATGTTGACCCCAAATGCCCACTCCGGCTTCCCCGGTGTTCGCCCTGTCCCTCGGGTCCAGTGGGGCTGCTGGGAGGCGGGCGGCTGTGTTACAATCAGCAGCGGCGAGGGAGCTGTTATCTCCCTGCTCTGCTCCCTAGCACGCCGTTTACTGATGCCACGGGAGCTAGAATATGACGTTAGATTCTGGCTCCCGGCTTCAGTTGATGGCCCGTGAGGTGCTAGAGAGCAGGGAGATCAAAGATCCCTCGCTGCCGCCGATTCTAACACAGCTGCACACCTCCCAGCAGCCCCACTGGACCCCAGGGACAGATCCACACCAGCTCTCCAGGTAGGGAGTGTCACGTCTCCCGGCTCGCTGCAATGCGCTTCTGTGCCCGAGCGGTACGACCACGCCAGCATGCTGAGCTTACCTGCTCCGCGGCTAGCCAGGAACTACGCCACTCGGGAAAAACCAAGATGGCGCCGACCATGCGGTTGTGTCCATCAATGGCTCCGCCCCCCCAAATTATACGAACGTGCGCGTGACGTCACGACGTCAACCCATGCGCACGTTCTGGGGTCAGAGGTCACCCTCTGACCAATCAGAGCCTAGAGAGGGATATTTAAATCCCTGATTCACCCCAGTACCTTGCCCTGTCGTGGTTTCCTGTTCCTTGTTCCCGAGAGTGCGTTTATCCTTGTGATTCTGATATTCTGGTGTTTTGACCTTGGCTTTTCCTTGTTATTCCGATTTCTGGTTTCCCTGACTTGGCTTGTTTAAACAGTATTTGTGTATTTCTGGCTTCCTTGACCTCGGCTTTCCCTTTGACCATTCTCTGTCTCTAACGTATTAGTCCGGCCATTCTAAGGACCGGTTTACGTTCTATCCTTTTATTTCATTTTCTTTTTTTCTCTGTATATGTTTACATAGTTTCTGCGTGTTGGGCCACACTAGCAGTGGTGACATTATGACAGGGACATGGATCCTGCGGAACTATGTAAACATATGAAAGCCTGTGAGGGAAGGGTGGAGGATATGGACCACAGGTTAGATCAGTTTGCCCAAGCGTTCTAGACCTTGCTCCAGAGAACTGCCTATCTGGAGGCACCCCCGGTACCACCTGTAGCTCCGCCACCTATACCTGCACCTGTGGTATATAAACCTCGATCCATAACCCTTTCACCTCCCCCTTGTTTTGGAGGTGATTCTAAGGAATTCAGAGGTTTCCTTAACCAGATCGAATATCATTTCGAGGCTTCCCCTGGTTCCTTCCCTACAGATAGATCAAAGATGGGCTATCTAATTAACCAATTAACGGGCAAGGCTTTAACCTGGGCCAATCCCTTATGGGAAAGTGGAAATCCAGTTGCCCGTGATTATAATGAATTCCTAACTGCATTTAAAGCTATTTTTGAGCCAAAGGGAAGACAGAAAAACGCTGCCAGAGCCTTAATGAGAATAAAACAAGGCACCCGCTCTGTAGCTGATTACGCCGTAGAGTTCAGGACATTAGCATCTGTGGTTGACTGGACCAATAGTGGTTTGGTGGCTGCTTTTTCTGAAGGTTTAGTGGAAAATATACAAGATGAGACCGCAGCCAGAGACCTTCCGGTTAATCTTAATAATTTTATTGCATACATGATTGACATTGACAACAAGCTCAGAGAAAGGAGAAAAACAAACCGCGTACTAGACGTACAAACTTGTCTATAGCTCCTTGTTTCTTCTGTGCCCGAGCGGCATGACCACACCAGCATGCTGAGCTTACCTGCTCCGCGGCGAGCCGGGAACCGCTCCTCCACGCCTCTTGGGAAAAACCATTAATGGTTTTTAGTCCTGCTCCACCTCCAGAAGCTGAACCCATGCAATTGGGCATTGCTAAACTAACTGAGGCAACACAACTAAGAAAGACAACACAGACGCAACGAGGGGTTGTGCCTGTATTGTGGCAAGAGAGGACATCAAAGGCTTTCATGTCCGGTTTGGCCGGAAAACTTGCGCACCTAAGGCACGTTCAGGGACCGACCTTAGGTGTGATGTACATGTCCCCTAAATTGACTAAGAACCGCTTCCTTATAAAAATTACTCTGTCTTGTAAGAAAACTACTGTTCAGTGTGAGGCTATGATTGACTCTGGGGCAGCGGAGAATTTCCTTGATAAGGAATTTTCTGCCAAACATCTCCTGCGTTTGAGGCAGAAAGATAGACCCATAGCAGTTGAGGCTATCGATGGGAGACCTCTTACTCAACCTCTCATCATGCACGAAACACTGCCAATCACTGTCTCAGTAGGTGTCTTACATTCTGAGGAAATGGTTTTTCAAATTATATCTTCCCCTACATGTCCGATAATACTTGGTTTTCCTTCGCTCCAGAAACACAATCCACGTTTGGATTGGGTTGAAGGAGAAATTGTGAGTTGGGGAGAGAATTGCAGAGGTTATTGTTTACTACAGATGCCACAACGAATTGGTACCATCAATGTACCTATAGCGCCTCCCTTAACCACAGAAATCCCACCACAGTATTTGGACTTAAAGAAAGTATTCAACAAGGTTCAGTCTGAGGTATTACCTCCACACAGACCCAATGATTGTGCCATACATTTGTTACCAGGCACTAAGTCTCCTAAAGGAGGAATTTATGCACTGTCTCCTCAATAAACCCTTTGCTTAGAGGAATACATAAAAGATGCTCTAAGAAAGGACCACATACAAAGGTCCTCTTCACCTGCTGGGGCTGGGTTCTTCTTTGTATCTAAAAATAAGGAGACCTACGCCCTGCATCGACTATAGCGGTCTGAATAAAATAACGCTAAAAAAACGCCTACCCCATTGCCCTTATTTCTGAGCTATTCGACAGGTTGAAAGATCCCCGAGTATTCACTAAACTCGACCTAAGGAGTGCATAAAACCTAGTCAAAATTAAGGAGGTACATGAGTAGATGACAACGTTTAATACGAGAATGGGACATTATGAATATCTGGTTATGCCGTTTCGCTTATGCAATGCCCCAGCGGTATTTCAGGATTTTATAAACGATGTCCTTAGAGAATATCTCCACATGTTCGTAATGGTGTATCTAGACGACATTCTCATCTATTCCCCACATCTAAAAACACATCACGAACATGTGAGAATCGTGCTCAAAACCTTGTTAAAGAACGGCTTATATTGTAAGCTTGAAAAATGCCAGTTTGACCAGACTGAGATACAGTTCCTTGGATATGTTATATCCCCTTCAGGTTTTAAAATGGACCCACGCAAACTGGAGGCAGTATTGCAATGGCCGTTACCTTAAGGTCTGAAAGCTACACAGCGCTTTATAGGTTTAGCTAATTATTATCGTAAATTCATTAAGGGTTTTTCATCAGTAATCGCTCCTATTCCCAACCTAACCAAGAAAGGAGCAAATTGCAATTCATGGCCCAAGGAAGCAAAGGAGGCATTTGAAAAATTTAAATCTTTATTTGCCTCAGCACCTGTCCTGACACACCCCGATCCGACCAAACCTTTTATTTTAGAGGTAGATGCATCAGAAACAGGAGTAGGAGCCATTCTGTCTCAAAGAGAGTGTCCTGATGCGCCTTTACATCCCTGTGGGTTTTTCTCTCGAAAACTAACTCCTGCAGAGAAAAATTATGACATTGGGAATAGGGAATTACTGGCCATTGTACTCGCCCTTAAGGAATCGAGGCATCTCTTAGAAGGTTCCAAAGAGCCACTTTCACCGATCATAAGAATTTGGCTTATATTGGGGACGCTAAGAGATTGTCCTCCCAACAGGCTAGATGGTCATTATTCCTCTCCCGTTTCAATTTTTTTATTACATACAGGCCCGGGACAAAGAATACCAAGGAGACAGATGAGGTTCCTGAACAAGAGGTATTCCCAAACGTACCTCCAGAATGTCTAATTGCTACTACGGTTTCTGAAGTGTCTTCTCCACTCTTCTGTGCCATAATAGCAGATCAAACTCAGGCACCTGTAGAGAAACCTCCGAACAAACTGTACATTTCACCAATGGAGGAAAAAAGTACTTGGATTATTCCATGATAATTTGACAGCAGGTCATGCCGGAATAAATAAGACTCTCTCTGCTATTTCCAGGAAGTTCTGGTGGCCTACTCTTAGGAGTGACATTAAAGATTATGTAGGGGCATTTCAAATATGTGCTGTTTCTAAAACACCCCACAAACCTCCTCCTGGGTTGTTACAACCACTTCCTATACCTAATGCTCCATGGACCCATTTAGCCATGGAGGAAAAAGGAAAATACAGGAAAGCCCAGAGGGTACAAAGAGTCTGCTGGGTTTCTAGTATGACTGAAGCAACCCCTGATTCAATAAAATATAACTTTTAATAATCCATAATTAAAAATGAAGAATAATGAAAAAAAACATGCACAATTGCTATATATATATAAAAAAAATTATATCTAGAGTAAATGATAACTAGTAGAAGGAAAAGGAAAGCTTAATGTAGATATAAGTTAAAAGGTATCACATCAGTCCAATAGTGACACAGGTAATTCAGGGATAGTAGGGTTAAGGTATAGACTATACAGAATAGCCCAACGTTCCCTCCCTGCTCCTATCGTCCAGTAACACCGTAGTGACTAAACGCCCCCAGCTCCGAGATACTAGACTAACAATTGACGTTAGATTCAAATATTAGTAAAATAAAGTAAAGGGTGGCTAAGTCTAAAATAAATAATCATCACAGCTGCAGCATCTTCCCTGTCTCACTCCACCACCCTTCACTGCAAACTAGTCCCGACGCGCGTTTCGCCGAAAATCGGCTCTTCCAGGGGAACCGAGCGTGGAGTCAGCAGTCATTTAAATATCCTGCCCTCCCTTGTAATTGGCTACTAATCTTGCCAATTAGAGAGGGGGGAGGTAAAACCTAACCTTTATCCCAGTTAACCCTGAGTGGCTCGGTATACTGGATATAAGTAAAGGTTATTGCAATCAACTAATGTGAAGACTTTGATAATGTATTCAGATAGTATGATGTAATATAATAAACTAGCGAGGCAATACAAAGTCAAATGGTGTAATGAAAAACATGAAAGCCCCTTGTGTTTGGATAGCCAAAACTGTATATTTTATAAGGGGCAATCTGATATAACTGGTAGTTGTTACTTCTTTTGTAACAAAGTTTATCCAAAGTGTTACTCAATTTCTCTTGGATTCTAATTGACTATGCATAGTTAATTTTCTTTTGTCAGACACCAAATTCACTCTCATAATATTCCTTGTATAATCTCAGTCAAAAATTAATAATTAACCAAATAAAAAGGAATCGAACTGAGCATCAATGTACTTTAAAAGTAATAAGTCTTCATAAATCATAACACAATAAATACAACTCAAAACAACCCTTAATTTTCTAAGTACAACTTGCGTTTTTTAAAAAATATATATTTTTTGTAATATTGAAGCAATTGCAAGGAGACAATTGGTCATATGTATATAAACCTAAAATGTCAAAGAGACATAGGAATGAATGAACGGAGTGAAATTGAACTCCTCATTCAATCCTTTGGGGTATAGTGTTTGGAATGAATAAATCCAACGGGACTCAGCTTTTAATAAAGAGATATTAATATCACCCTTTCGGTGATTCTGAAATATTTTTTGAATCACCTGAAATTTTAGTACACTGGATTTGGAGGCATGGTTGAGTCGTACATGTTTTGCAATGGGCATATCCATATGTGGATTCATGATGGAGTTAATGTGTTGTAGAATCCGTCGACGTAGTTGTTGATATGTTTTGCCAATATACTGTAACCCGCATTCACATGTTATAAGATAAATGACATTAGTGGAATTGCGGTTAATAAATGAATTGACCACTATGTCTTTAAATGTTCTTTTGTTGTGCACTGTTTTAGAAGGTAAGATGAAATTACAGGCCTTACAGTGACCACATTTAAAGAGACCTTTGGTTTGGAGCCAAGTGGATGTAGTTTGTGCAGGTTTTAGATGGCTGTGTGTTTAATGATCTGCCAAATTTCTTGCTCTTCGATAGGTCATTGAAGGCTGATTAGTAATTGCCATGGATTTAATCGTGGATCTCCCCAATTCAAATGGGTATAATACCATCCTTATGGTTATAGATAGATTATCCAAAATGGCACATTTTATACCTTCTAAAAAATTGCCGTTTGCTCAAGATCTTGTCAAAATATTCATGAAGAAGATCTTTCGATTACATGGAGTACCAAAAACATTGTTTCTGACAGAGGTACACAATTTATCTCTAGGTTCTGGTGTGCCTTCTGTAAAGAATTGGGTGTAGAACTTTCATTTTCCTCTGCATACCATCTTCAGACTAATGGTGCTGCAGAGAAGGCCAATCAGTCTTTAGAAACATATTTACGTTGCTTTATTGATGCCAATCAGTCCAACTGGTACAAACTCTTACCCATGGCTGAATTTGCCAGAAATAATGCAATTCATGAACCCTCTAATCATAGTCCATTTTCTGTTAATCAGGGCTATCACCCCATTGTGTTACATTCTGAATTTTCAGGCACTGATATTCCTGCTTTGAACACCCGTTTGACTTGTATTCAGGACACTTGGGATTCTGTTCATTCAGCACTACAGGATGCCTCTAAACGTGCTAAAATCCAAGCTGACAAGAAAAGGGGTGCCAATCCTGTTTATCAAGTAGGGGACAGGGTTTGGTTATCCACACGTCATATCAAACTCAAGGTTCCTTCCATGAAACTAGCTCCTTGATACATAGGTCCCTTTCATGTCCTCCGTCGTATAAACCTTGTGACTTATTCATTGGCACTCCCTGCACATATGAGATTGCCAATTCTTTACATGTATTATTGCTTAAGCCCCTCACTTGCAATAGATACACAAAAATGGTTGTTCCTCCTCCACCCTTGGTAGTAGGTGATCAAGAAGAGT